AGTATTCCTAAGGTGCCTAACACCAAATCTCTTCTTACTCAGGGAATCAAATAAACTGTTTTCTGAGCCACTTTTAGCTCCCTTAGCACTGAGGATTGTCTCATCCCATCTCATCTTGTCAATGTACAGGGCTGGTCCTGTCCACCCAAGCAGGACTACCTCGTTGCCCATAGAATCATAGAATATCAGGGTTGGAAGGGACCTCAAGAGGTCATCTAGTCCAACCCCCTGCTCAAAGCAGGACCGATCCCCGACTAAATCATCCCAGCCAGGGCTTTGTCAAGCCTGACCTTAAAAACTTCTAGGGAAAGAGAAAGAAAAGGAGTACTTGTGGCACCTTAGAGACTAACCAATTTATTTGAGCATAAGCTTTCGTGAGCTACAGCTCACTTCAATCGGAAGTGAGCTGTAGCTCACGAAAGCTTATGCTCAAATAAATTGGTTAGTCTCTAAGGTGCCAAAAGTACTCCTTTTCTTTTTGCGAACACAGACTAACACGGCTGTTACTCTGAAACCTAGGGAAGGAGATTCCACCACCTCCCTAGGAAATGCATTCCAGTGTTTCACCACCCTCCTAGTGAAAAAGTTTTTCCCAATATCCAACCTAAATCTCCCCCACTGCAACTTGAGACCATTACTCCTCGTTCTGTCATCTGCTACCACTGAGAACAGTCTAGAGCCATCCTCTTTGGAATCCCCTTTCAGGTAGTTGAAAGCAGCTATCAAATCCCCCCTCATTCTTCTCTTCCGCAGACTAAACAATCCCAGTTCCCTCAGCCTCTCCTCATAAGTCCTGTGTTCCAGCCCCCTAATCATTTTTGTTGCCCTCCGCTGGATCCTTTCCAATTTTTCCACATCCTTCTTGTAGTGTGGGGCCCAAAACTGGACACAGTACTCCAGATGAGGCCTCACCAACGTTGAATAGAGGGGAACGATCACGTCCCTCGATCTGCTGGCAATGCCCCTACGTATACATCCCAAAATGCCATTGGCCTTCTTGGCAACAAGGGCACACTGTTGACTCATATCCAGCTTCTCGTCCACTGTAACCCATAGGTCCTTTTCTGCAGAACTGCTGCCGAGCCATTCGATCCCTAGTCTGTAGCAGTGCATGGGATTCTTCCGTTCTAAGTGCAGGACTCTGCACTTGTCCTTGTTGAACCTCATCAGATTTCTTTTGGCCCAATCCTCTAATTTGTCTAGGGCCCTCTGTATCCTATCCCTACCCTCTAGCGTATCTACCTCTCCTCCCAGTTTAGTGTCATCTGCAAACTTGCTGAGGGTGCAATCCACACCCATCCTCCAGATCATTTGTGAAGATATTGAACAAAACTGGCCCATGTGAAATGGTGTCATGTTTGAGGTATTTGTTGACAATGTATGGTTTAAAGCTGTAATTAAGGGAATTGGAATTACAATTTCCCCATTGGATATAAATTTATGATTTGGAGAAAATTTGGCAATGCTGCTTTCTACGTGAACTCTTCATGCTAGTCAGGAAAAATAAAATATTTTCCTTCAGCACTAAATTTACAAATCCTGTCATACAGAGGCCACTACAATTACATTTGCTCTAAGGTTCCCTCACACTTGCAGGTCAGTGCAGGTTTCCTGCTATATTAGAAACCTGCAAATAAACTCTACATTATAGCTTGGACCTTGTAATACATTGAGTGCAGCTGTAGAAATTAATATGTTTAGATCCTTCCACGTAAGCCAAAGAAGTTTGATAAACTTTTACAAACCCAGATATTCTCTGTAGATAAGATGCTAAAACGAATTCCACTAAGGCTGCTTTTGATAGTCCATGTCATCTACATGCGGTGTGACTGAGAAGAGAAATCCACTTTAGGGAAATCTCCCTGCACGTAGAGGGATGCCATTCAGCATTCTCCAACTTCTGAGAAGGCTGCTACCTGTGTGGGGGAAAAAACAGGAGTACTTGTGGCGCCTTAAAGACCAACAAATTTATTAGAGCATAAGCTTCCGTGGGCTACAGCCCACTTCATCGGATGCATTGAATGGAACATATAGTAAGAAGATATATATACACATACAGAGAAGGTGGAATTTCATACAAACTGTAAGAGGCTAATTAAGATCTTGTCCACTGTCTAAATTATCACTACAAAAGCTTTTTTTTTCTCCTGCTGATAATAGCTCATCTTAATTAATTAGCCTCTTACAGTTTGTATGGCAAATTCCACCTTTTCTCTGTGTGTGTGTGTGTGTGTGTATATATATATATATATATATATATCTTCTTACTATATGTTCCATTCAATGCATCCAATGAAGTGGGCTGTAGCCCATGAAAGCTTATGCTCTAATAAATGTGTTAGTCTCTAAGGTGCCACAAGTACTCCTGTTTTTTTGCAGACACAGACTAATACGGCTGCTACTCTGATACCTGTGTGGGGTGAGTTCTGGGGGAGAGGTGACTTCAGGACTCACAAGCCACGAAGAGCTGTTTTAGATTACTGCTAAGAAATGGATGCAGAAGCAGAGTCACCATCACCCCTGTTTTCTGTTTATTAGAAAACATTTTAGTGCATGTGCTCTCTGCACTGTTCCTGACAACTCAGCAGCAGGTGTCATCTGAGGGTTCCTTCACTGCATTAACGCAAAAGAACTTGTGCACAATCCCCAGACTGTGAGACAGAGCTACTCTATGAGCCAGTATGCCCTGCAGGAGTTCTCCCCAGTGCTGATGGCAGTGAGGGGCCTGCTTCCTTGGCAGGAGAAGCACACATAAGCCTCTTGACTTCATGCACACACAGCCCACTTGATTGATGCCCACAGTGGCAATAATACCTTAGAGGGGAGCAGGGGAATGGAGCATTTTTTACTGCACAGCTGGTATAATGGCTACATTGTGAGATCTTGGGGGAAACAGACAGCTGCCTTCCCACCACTTCTTAGCACAAAGGTAGTGTTGTTGCACCTACAGGCTGAAATGCATTGCTCAGCAAGACAGCATTGGCAAGACAGAAAACACCATGAGGTGAGGGGAAAACACTTCCTGGGGTCCCAGAATCATTCATATGTGACTCAAGCGCAACTCAGAAGAATGCTCTTTGGAAACACTCTCCCAAGTTCCTGGAGACAGCTTTTGTCCTCATAGCCCCAGTCATGCTCTCCATCTGGGGATTTTCAGGAGTCCAGTCCCAGCTCCTTTGTGACATGGCAGTCTGGGCTCAGCAGCAGAAACTGGTTGCAGGGCTGTCTTTCTGTCCCACTTCCCCACTGGCCCGGCTTCTAATTTTAGGATTTTTGGCTGGTCCTATCAGTGCTGCTGAGTCAGAAAGAGAAACTGACAAAAAACCAAGACACATCTTTGGGGAGCAACTGACAGTAGTCAGGGAGGGAGGTGTGGGTGCTGCTCTCTGCAGCACCCATGGGCTATAGGGCAGTGATGACCACAGCACTCTCAGCACCAGTCAGTCTCTGTCTGTGAGCTCCCTGAATGGGGAGCCAAGCCACTGCTCCCTGCCCTTGCAAGCATATTGATGGCAGGGGCTAGCAGTGTGTTATTTCCTCCTGCAAGGGATAGAGATAGGGCTCGCCTGGGAGCTGCCAAGTGCCCTTAGCATGTGGGGCTAGAGGACTCAAGCCCCAAGCAGACACTTTCTTTGCTTGTGCATAAAGTCTGCTCTGCTCAGTGTGTTGCCAGATGAGGAGAGTCGGGAGTGGAGCAGGGAGCACTGATCCCTCTGTTTTCTACCAAGAGCAGTGGGAGGCTGCAGGCAAGACTGTCTTTGCAGATCTGGTTCTGGAGCCTGGCAAGGATTTGAAGAGACCCCTCTAACCAGTAAGGGTAGGAAGGCTGGTTTTAAGACCTGGGTTCAAGCCCTGGCTCTGCCACAGATTCCCTGTGTGACCTTGGGCAAGTCCCTTAGTCTCTCTGAGGCCTGCTCTACACTTAAAAGTTACATCAACAAAGCTACAGTGGCCAGGGATGTGAAAAATCCACAGCCATGAGCACTGTACCTATGGTGACCTAATTCCCAGCATAGAGGCAACTAGGTCAGTGGAAAAATGCCTCCATCACCTTAGCTACTGTGGCTCGGGGAGATGGAGGTCCTCCAGCGATGGAAAATCCCCATACATCACCATAAGCAGCACCACAGGGCCCTGTACAGTAGGCGAGCTGTAGCCTGGGGAGACAGCAGGTCCCTAAGGCAGGGGATGAGAGGGAAACATTCATTAGTGATTGTGAGGGTTGAGATACAATAGTGATGGGGCCCTGTGCGGGGGTGTTCACCCACACTTGCCCTGAAAGGGTTAATGCAGATTGAGAAGGGGGCTAATTAATCCAAAAAGCCACAGCTGAGGTCTCGGTGGCTAAGCAATCCCCTGAATGAATGAGGAAGGCCAGCTGAGGAGGAAGGAGCTGGGTTGGAGCTATACAGGCAGGAAATTGGCAGCAGAAAGGGGACTGCAGGGAAGGAGTTTGCAGTCACTCCCTGGGAGAAGGGAGGTGTGTCTGGAGCTAGAGGCAAGTACCCTACAGTTACTCATAGGAGGGGGGAGTTTGGGCTGGCAAATTCAGAGCGGTAGGCAAGGCTCAGGGAAAAAGCTGCAAGGTATGAGGTTGCTCAGACTGGCTGCTAATGAGAGGGCCCCGGAGCCGGGAACCATAGTAGAGGGAGGCCCCAGGTCCCCCTTCCAGCCACTGGAAGAGTGGCACGGTTTCAGCAGTAAAGGGAAGACTGCCATTTCATATGGAGGAACTTTGATACGCCCCCCCTGGAAGGGGAAACACATGGTGACTCGACTGGAGGGCCAAGTCACAAAGAAGGAGCTCCTTGAGTTGCAGGCAGCAAGAGGACAATGGGAGAGACACTGCCAGAGGACGGCATAATGCCTGGCCAGAGCTAATCCCCAGGATGGCCAGAAGGAGGCACCACTAGCGGTGAGTCGTGTCCCCCCCATGACAGGCCCATATAGGTACCTGTCTCGAAGGAGAGATAACCTGTCAAGGAGCGTGACAACTCACATGCATTGGCTGTCTGTGTTATTCTGCTGTAATTCAGACTCCTGAACCTCACATAGATGGTATTTTCCTAAGATCCCTGGGTTGGTCAGCCCAGCAAGCTAAAAGCACAGTCATCAAATAAACATGCCATCAGGTACAATCACTTCTTCTGATTAATCTACTTGTATTGGAGGTGCCTGAACTGACTTGCCCGCAGCACCGTCCCTCCTTGGTAATGATTCATGGCAAGACTAATATGGAACTCAGGAGGGCATCTCTGTGGCTCCATTAGGTAACATTGCTACTCAAAGCAAGTTGCCTCATTTGAACATTAACATGCAATGCAGAACCTGACCCTGTGGGTCACACAGAGATTTAATGGTAACGCTAGACAATGATCTAGTTCACATAACATGTCTGGGAGGTGAAATTCTGGGTTCCCTCTAATACCAGGCATGTTGCAGACCTAGCACTCTTCAATAGCTCGTGGCCTGCCCTGCAAGGTGCACTGCCCACTCTGGCCACAGCTCCATTGTGATGACTGTCACAGTTCTAAAACAGAGGCAGGATTTAGGTCCTGGGTGGGTTTTCAAGTGTTGGCCTCATAGTCAGGGGAGGTGGCAGGAGACTCGCCTGAAGGACAGCGATTTGGAGACACATTTTCGTATTTGGGTTCCTCCTCAACAACAGCCTGTTCATTTGTTTCTAGGCTTCTGGCCTCTTCAAGACTTTCACTCTTCTTGGGGTCCCCTGTGACCTCATCTTCTCCTTCCTGAGCCACTAGTCTTTTAAATATAGGAGATGTGTGGATGAGAGGTTCTCGCTTAACAGGAACATCTATCTGGTGTCTATGTGTGAGGAGCTCAGGTGACTCACAGGGCTCCAGATCTGTTGTCTTGGAGCTCTCCTTGTGTGGAGGGGATGGCTGGGAGAACATGTCTCTGGAGTCCCTCTCTGGGCTCAGGGCCCTGCGGGGAGGTTTCTGGATGCTTTCAGTACTTTTCCTCACCATGGGCTCCTCCCTGAAAGCCCTTTTTACTCTCTGGAAACTACCCAAACGTTTCAGTACAGCCTGAACTGTCCCCTCTCTGCTTCCATCAGCACTCTCATTGGACTTGGACGATTTCCCTGCTGTCCCCACAGTCACGTAAATGGTTGTGACATTCTGCTCCTTTCCTCTAACATCCAAAGTGTTTGGATGCAAAGCTGCCTCAAGGGCCTCGACTCTCTGGGCCACATGTCTGCCACTTGACACTGGCATCCTGTGGCCTCCTGAGGTACCCCTGGGGGAGGGCTGGTGGCTATCCTCAGCCTCAGAGATGGGCTCTGGGTTTTCGTAACAGTCACCTGGCAACCCACCCTGCTGGGGCTGCTCCTCTGGGTCAGCATGGTGCTGGTGAGAGGGAACTTTGGTGAGACCCCAGGGGGCTTTGGGCTTCCGAGTGGTATTTGGTGTCTCCATGGAGCCTCTTTGACACTGAGGGCCAAATTTAGTTCCTTCTGCAAAAGACACCGAGGGCCTCTTGGCTCTGGCGATGCTGGATGTGCGGGGGATGGTGAAAGGCTGGGAGACGTCCTCAGAGTTAAATGCTGATGCATCAGGAAATTCATGACACTTGGAGCTGCCTTCCTGAGGCTCAAAGCCTGCCACTGCAGGAACATCTGGAGAATAAGGAAGGGAAGGGGGGTTAGGCTGCTTCTCCCTTGGCTACAGAGGCTTCCAAGAACTAAGTCACCAGCATACCAACAGGCTTCTCCTTAGCTCAGGGCTCAAGGTTAGAGCATGTGGCCTTTATCCTCTTCGCCATGACTGGGGGCTTCTAGGGACTAGAGTATCCAGAACTGGCACCATTTGGGGTTGCACTGCACTTCTTTACTCCCAGACTTGATTCTAGATTTATGAGAGTGGATGGTGGGGTAAGGTACTGAGTTAGGTTTTACGCACTGATGCCACAGGGAGCCCAGGGTGGGAGCTGTCTTAACTGCAGCAGCTATGGAAGCACAAACAGCGGCAATGAGCTCTGAACTTATTTGAGGGAGGGAGTTGTGAAATCAGCAGTTTTCTGAGGACATGTAGCTCTGGCACATATCACAGCATATTTCCATTTCACACTAAACTGATCGGAAGGCCAGAAACAGAGCTCAGCCTCCCTGTATGGAAAGGAAAATAAGGAACTAAAAATAATTGGTGCCTGTGTGTAACACAAGTCCTTTGCAAATCCCTCCCCACAAGTACACATGGAATGAAATTCACCCTAAGCAAAGGGCCTCTGTCCCACTGGGCCCTCTGCACAGGGATGACTTTCGCCCCCACAGAGCAAAGGAAACAGGGAAGGAGAGTTCAAAATGAGTCCTAAGGAGATGGTGAAGCAACTGGGCAGCGTTACCTTCTCTGGCAGGGACACAGTAAGCTGGGCCCCCATCGTCAGTGTCAAAGGAGGAGGAGAAGGAGCTGTCTGAGGCCCAGGCAGCCGAAGGCGGTTCAATGAAGCTGGGATTGAAGGGAATCTCTGTGTCATGGTGCGAGACTGGAAGGGAAGCAAGACTATGAGGAAGAAGCAATCCAGCTCTCAGGACCACATGCTGGTCTACGTGTTCTAGTCTGAACTGTACCAGGGATGCCCTAGACTGCATGTTCCATGGGGCAGTCACCTGGTAACTGGCTGGCACAGCTTGCTCGTTTGCAATTACAGTATGAATGTAAGGAGATACAGTTCCTACCCTCAGGAACTCTAAAGACACAGACAAAGCAGGGCATAATAAAGAGTGCATCAATCAGGGATCCGTGCTAATAATCCTGATCTTACCTGTGACTCGGGGGAGTCTGTAGCCACTCAGTGAGAGGCAAGGTAACGTGGAGCTGAGATTTGCCAGCACCCCCTGCACGTGATGTTTCATTCTGGAGATCGCATCACCATCAGCAACAGTCGTCCTTGGAAAGAAAGAACAGAGATGTGTGGCAGAGATGACTGGCTTTCCAATTAAACAAAGTTCACTCCTATCTTGCTGGGAAATGGAGTTGGAATCAGTTTGGGAGAAGCCTGCACATGTGGCAGCCCCATTTCTGACCAAGTCCTGCAACCTATCCGCTAATGCAGTTTGACTCATGGGCTGATTTATGGGCTACATGAGTCAAATAAGTAAAATGAAGTAACATGAAATTTTGAAGTAATTCCCTGTCAGGCAACAGAACCCAATGAAGATGCTAAGGACTCTTTATTTGCCTTGAGGCTAATTTTAATTGGCCAGAAAAGGTTCCTCTCGGTTCTAGGGCCGTTCAGCAGCAATGGCCCGCGGCAGGTGGCTCTTCTCTTTGCAGCTACATTTCTACAGCACCTGACACATTTTAGTAATACCTGTCTCTGGCATCCAACTTGCTGGTTCCACAGCAACAGCAACAGCAGGTGACACAGAGTAATAGGAGGAGTAATGGGATGAGAATGCCAGCTATCAGGGCTCCCTGGTGCTTTGATCCTGCATGGAGAAACAGTGTAGAACAAGGTGAAATTCTTACTTGGCTGGCAAGTTCAGAGCACTGGGAAAGCCATCCTGGAGGAAGGATCTCAGATCTGGGGACCTGCCTCAGTGGTCTCAGAATGTACTAAACAGATCCAGTCCTGTTCGAATCTCGTCCCATTCATACCGCTCCATATCATAAGGACAGTTGGGGAACTCAGCCCAGACCCAGCACCCAGCTCACAGAACCAGCACATCTTTTGGTATCTGCAGAGTGACAGTCTCTCTGAGTGAGCCCCAGGGTTCCAACTCCTCACCCAGGAAGAGGCAGGAGCTCAGGACAGGCTAAGATTTTCTCAGTGCTGTTTGCTCCGGTACACTCTTTCAGCATAACACTGATGATACCACATTACAGGAGAGTGTATTTCCACCAGGCACAGCCCAGTTAGCAAAGCCATAAGCAAGACGAGGTGCTGATCTCACCATTCCCAACCAAGAATGTATCTGTACATTAAAGTCAAGTGGACTCTACTCCAGACACATTTTCTATGCTAAAGAGTCTTTGACTTACTGTGGCACATTCAGGAACATAATGACTTGCTCTCAAAGATCAGACCTTTTGGGCCATCTATTCCAGTTGTTTGCCTTCAGAAGAGGCCAGTGCCAGATGCTTCAGATGAAAGTGAAAGTCCTCTGACTGGCACTAACCAATGTGGTCAGAATCACCCTTCCTAAATCTCCTATTCAATTTCAAACTTTCCCCTGCAGTATTTTATTCAGATGCATTTCCACATTTTTTAGAACCTGGGTCCACACGGGGATGATAAACCGAGTGAGAGTGCTTCTCCATAGTGCAATTATGTCCTTCAATCAACTTTTACAAACCAAGCAATTCTTCATCTACCCACAAACAAGTGACTTTACAATCAAGGCTGGATCCATTTTTCTGCTGTAATTTCATGTGACAGACTCAGAGAAACACCTTAACTCTAAACACAGTTAATCATTTTAGTTACACTCTGACATACTGCTGATGAATGTTATGGATGAAAATATCACCCTGTGCTACAGGATGGGAACAAAGACACAGGGACAGAAATATCAAAGGCCTAGAGCAAGATTAAGGTCTTGTGAGGCACAATGAGCTTCAAACAACGTGGGCTCTGGTTTTTGGACTAACTTTGAATCCCAATCCAAACTGTTGTGGTACTTGAATCTGGCATGATAGCTGCACTCAGCTAAACAGGCTTGGGCAGTGCGGAGGGGTTATAACAAGGAAACCAAAGCCACAAAAATGAGATAGGAAAGAGCTCATTTCCCTGATCTACAGAGATGGAGGAGAAGAGGGAAGGGAGTTTCCTGGAGGCTCATGCTGTATGGCAGTAGAGGTACTGCATGACACTGTGCAAAGCGTCTTTGCTGGGAACCAGCCCGAGTCCAGAGGGCACCTTGGCTTCCACAGCAACCTTTTGGTGTCTTATGTGGTTTTATATTGGGAGAGAAGGAACCAATTCTCTGCTCTGGGAAGGAGAAGATCTGGTTAATAGGGAATGAATGAAAAGGTACAGTGCACGATATCACTTACTGAGCACACAGTCCCCAGAGTGTGGGTGGCAGGGGCCCCTTGGACATCGGCAGGGGGAAGAACAGTTCGCTCCAAAAAAACCCTCTGGGCAGGTCTCATTGCAGCTGAGGGGAGAGACAGAAAGAAATGGAAAATGCTCGTTTGGAAACATCCCATCCTCTGCCCACTGCAGCTTCCCTCGCTTTTACCTGGTGCCCCAATAGCCAGCCTGGCAGATACACTCCCCAGACACTGGATCACAGCTCCCATTAACACAGTCTGGACAGGTGAACCTGCATCCATCTCCAAATGTTCCGGCAGGGCAGGATGCTTCACAGCTGCAGAGAGAGGGGAGAATCTAGCTGCTGGCTCATGGGAGAGAGGCTGGCAATGCAGAGGGGCTATAGCTTAGTTTGAGGGTTAGCAGCTCTGTCACAGTGCAGAGCCTGCTTTGCATTTGCACTGATATTAATGTTGTGCCACAGGGCCCTGACTTGTTGCTAATCTTACTTGAGGATGGGAATGGTGATCTGGTGGTTAGGGTACTAGAGTGTGACCCAGGAGTTCTGAGTTGTGTTCCTGGTTCTGACAGACTCCATGCATGACTGCGGGAAAGATACTTACCCCTTCTGTGCTTCAGTTCCCCATCTGCAAAATAGGGATAATCTTCCCTAACTCATGGAGTGGGAGGCTCAGATACTGAAGATACTACAGGAAAGGGAACCATAGACAAGCCTGTAAATATATGCGGCTCATTGTGTTGTAGAGTCCTGCTGGGGATGCACTGGGTGTCTCTGACCTCAGGGCTCTTTGACCTCAACAAGACAAATATTGAATAGAGATTGGTTGCTGTTTATTTTCATTGTTCTCTGGTATTACACCTGACGCCAGGATTTCTGCAGACAGCACACAGAGAGACCTCCTAGTGTGTCTGAACACGGCCTTGCTCTGCACACATTTGGCGAGAAGGGAGGCTGTACCACTGAATGCATGTTGGGTGGTCTCCACCGAGAATCCCTAGCTCAGCTGTCTGACAGCTGTCCGTCTATCCATGGACAATCATCACACAGCGTCTAAGCTTCCGTACTGTGAATGAAGCTTTCAAACAAATATTTTCTACTTTACGCTCAAGGAAACCTGAGGACAGAGGATGTCTGCTACAACAGAGAATTGAGCTCCACAGGGCAAACATCACACAGAAAAAGAGGGGTCCGTACCTGGGTCCTGTCTTGCCAGGGTCACAATTCAAGCAAGCCCCTGTCTCTGGATGACAGACCTCCCCTTGTCGGCAGCTGGGACACATCTGTGCACAGTTCTCCCCATGGTATCCAGGCGTGCACAGCTTCTTACAGAGGGTACCATTCCAGCCAGAGTCACATGCCAGGCAGAACCCATCCACAGGAGAGCAGGGCTGGTTCTGCTTGCAGTGCCCACAGCTGCACAGTCAGAGGTGTAAGGAACAATCAGCATCAGAGCTGGGGGAACAGCGGCCCCACATCCCAAACCAAAATAAATAGGGCAGAGAAATAGGGAGAAGAGAACTGTACTCTCTGCTCCACAGCCAAGACCAAACAGAGCATGCTCCCACCAGCAACAGCCCTGGGAACAAAGCAATCTGCTCCCAAAAGAGCTCAGGTCACTGACAGCCTGCACAGCCCTCCCAAACCCCATCCACAGTGCTTCCACACACAGCAGTATGGCAGAGTCATCAGCCCCCTTCTCTGAGACAGGTGTCCACTGGTGGCATTCCTCAGAGGTTTCCCTCTGTACAGCTGTGATATAGTCCCTGCAGTTACCCCTGTGGAAACATGCTACAGAGTTTAACAGGAATGATGACATCTCATGAGATCTTATTGGAATTTAACAGGGTTTTGTAGCTATTACTCTAAAACACCTATTGAATGCAATGAAGAAAGAGAGATCCTCCTCTGTAGGCCCTGAATCGGCCTACAGAAGAGCTATCTATAGTTTTCTACTGAAGTCTACAAGACTTTCCCATGGGGGACAGTCCTGTGCCACAGTCCTGTGCCTCATTCCTCAGCTGATCACAGCCAGACCTCCCTGGCCACTGGCTCAGGAAAGCCTCTCCATCACCAGCCAGGAGATGAGCTCACAAAATGATATCTCCCCACGCCTCTCCCAGAGTATGAATAGGGCAGCCAATCCAAATCCTCGCTGCCCCTTTCCTCTCAGTCCCTTTATATGAAAGAGCTGCGCCCTACAGTCTAACAAGCATCAGCTGCCCACTCCCTGAGCTCCACCCAGTCTGGTCCTAAACTCCTGCATACCCAGCAGGGAACACGGGCTTCTGGGCATTGGCACTCCCTAGGCAGCCCCAGACTCATGCAGTCACCTTAGGGCACTATACCTTATCACAAGCATGCAGAGTGATATTCCTCTTACCTGTATCTGCACTGAGATCCGTAATAACCGGCAGGACAAGGATCCCCACAGCTCCTGCCCTGATAGCCAGGGTTGCAGCTGCAATGCCCATCAAGAGGGTTGCAGTTCCCATGCAGGCAGTCACAATGATGTTGGCACAATGGCCCCCAAAACCCAGCCCTGCACTCACACCTGCCTGAGTCTTGGGCACAGGGTGAGAGGTGGCAGGTGCATCTGAAGCTGCATCTCCTACCCCACCAGCCCTGGGCGCAGATGCACTGCCCTGTGACAGGGTCACAGTGGGAGCTGGCCAGCCTGCACAGACACTGCTTCTTGCAGTTCGGTGCCCACCAGCCTGGCTCACACTGGCAGGCTCCAGTGAGGGTGCTGCAGTGGCCATGAGGTCCACACTGGCATGGGAACTGGCAGAGTACTCCCCAGCGGTTGGCATTGCAAGTGCACTGGCCGCTTACAGGATCACACTTCCCATTGGGATGGCATGAACAGCTCTTCTTGCAGTCCGAGCCCCAGTACTGGTCAGGGCAGCCTACAAAGGGAACAAGACAGATACCAGATCACAACATGCAGGAATATAGGAGTCTCTGTGCCACAGGGAGGAGGGCAATCTGGCAATGGGTTTGGTGTTCTTTCCCTATGGGGTGGTGTAAGCCATGGAAGGGCACAGGCTGGTAGGCCCTTGTAGGTCCTATGCAGTAGGGAGACTAAGGAGTGGGGACTACCAAAGAGACACCCCACACCCAACTGGGAGGAGACATCAGAACAGCATGCCCCAAACACTGTCTCTGCTATGCTGTAACATGTGGATGTAGCTGCTTGTGCTCATGGATGGGCCAAGGGGCTGCTGGGCACTTGGAGCACTTAACTGTGACCATGTGCCATCATGCTGGGACCTCTGGCCTGAGCTCACCTCCTGGGACCCAGCCAATGTCCTGATGGGTGCAGTGAGCGCTGTGTCACAGATAGAGTTTCTGAGATCACAGGGGATTCTCTGTATGTCTAAGGGTGAGAGTCTGCCCTGCCCCCTCTTTACCAGCCCCTCCATGCCCATACTCACGGGAGTTGCAGTTGGCTCCAAAGAAGCCAGGTTTGCAGAGGCAGATCCCGGGTCTCACACACACCTCATCCATCTTGCAAGCATCCTCCCCTTCACACCACGCTGTCAACAGCAGGACAAGCTAATCAGGAGCCAGGCTCCCCCAGCACAAGGCTGCTGGCAGGCACGTGGCCAGGGAGAGGAAGTGCAGATAGGCTGGGCACCAGCAGCTTCTCCGGAGCTGCCAGGGGCCAAGGCCCTTTGGCCTCCAGGTCCTTGTCCCTGTGGATTTGGACCAGTGACCTAGCCTGTCAGTGACTCCAGTTCCCAATCAGCACCCCCCATGTACCCTCATGTGTGGGCTCCAGAGAGAGAGAGGTTGGGGATTCTGCTCCAAGCCCTATGGTGCCTGGGACACACTCTGCTCCAACTGGCCCCAGCCCTGGCCTTCAGCCAGGAAGTTGAGACTGAGGCTAGAAATGACCTACAGGTGATGGCTTCTGGGAGGCTTTTTGAGGAGAAATGGCTGCCTCACATCCTATGGAGTGAACAGCTCATGCAGCACTTAGATATTGGGGCGGTGGGCTCTGTAGCAAATCCTGAGGAGAGATTCATCTGAGCAAGTGTTAATGGGATGGGGCGGAAAGCAGCATGGCTCCCCTTTTCTGTGAAGAGCAAACGAGAGCTTCCCACCACTTCTCCCCAGCTTGGGGGAGAAGCCCTCCCACCAGCATTGCTGGTGCTCTGAGTGCCCCCCTCCTGCTTCAGCCTACATTAACCCTGGAGTGCAGCTGGACAGATGCGATAAGGCACAAAGCTGCACTTCACGAGAGGCCTTATAGCTCTGCAACCCTTGCCTTGGTTTGCATCACGCCCCAGCAGAATATTCTGCACCTGAAATTAACACCCTTCAGCCTCTAGGGAAGAAGCAGTTTCCCAAAATGTTGTTGGATTCTGAGCAACAAAGAACGGAGATTCAGGAAATGCACACACCAAACAGCCTGAAACGGCTGGTCAAAATGACAAAGGCATGAGATGTAAAGCCACTGATGACTCACCAGCTGTGCATTCCCTGCCTTCCTGTTTCCAACCTGGGCAGCATACCAGACCTGCAGAGAGGCTGGGGAAGGGAGAGATCTGTTAGCATAGGAGCAGGGTGTTGGGCAGCAGGGCTCATGAAAGGGGCAATATACTGGGGTTGAGATAACGCTCCTATGTTTGCATTAAAGCCCATATAATCTAGGAGGAACTAAGGATCAGCCAGAAGCACCTCTCCCAAGGTTCAGCCTGGAACATGCTGAAGGATGGGCATGCCTTTGGAAGCATTGCCCTGGGAAGGACACCAGAGGAACGGGAGGAAGTCATGAGCAGGCTGCAGTACTAAGGCTGTCCTGACTGGTTCTGTCAGTGTTGTCTCCCTGTGTTTAAGGAGACACCCAGTGTTTACAGCTTATTTTTCGGAGTCATGCAAGTCTTTAGATTCTTTCACCTGCTGGTAGCAGCCAGCTGCATAGCAGCCAGCAGCCACCAAGTAATAAAAGACTCTACTAGACAATACCACGATGGTTGAGAAAGAGGGTACCAAGGCCAGAAGACAGGGTCTACAGGAGGCTTCTGCAGGGAGTCTCCTACTGAGTTCACAAGACAGAGCAATCCCAGGCAAAGAAATCAGGCAGTTCTAGGCCCTTTTTGTTTGATGGATAATATCTAACTCATAGCATGTAACAGAAAGTGGTGTTAGGGAGCCGGATTTGCCTCAGTTCCAGAGACTCATGAATACTGTGATACCATGAGGTTAGTTTTACGTAGTTACAGTTTAAAACTCTGTAAAAACCATGGCAGTACTCTGCCTTCTTACCACATGGTGGCCTGGTGCTCTCTGGGCTTTAATTGCTGTCTATTTTTTTTTTTAAATGTTAGAAAATTTTATTCGCATTTTTCGTAACTGGAACTGCTCATTTGCCAGGAAGGATGATCCCATTGTACTTCTGCTGGAACCAACACATGGCCTCCTCCTTCCCAATTCTGTGCTTGGCTCCAATGGAGCTATTTTGCGTTTCTTGTCAGCAATGCTGAAGCCTGGCCTGCCCAGAACCACATAGAAGTCCAGGCCATAGATGCCAATGCTGGGATCGTATTTAATTCCCAGATCAATGTGCTCCTGGATTCCAAAGCCAAAGTTCCCAGTGTCTGAAAGGTTGTTTTTCCTCAACTCATATTCTTACACCTTCAAGCCTTTCTCCAGAATCTCCTCTGCTTTGGCCCCACGAACCGTGCAGTGAACAGCAATCTTTTCATTTCTCCTGATTCCAAAGGATCTGACAGTATATCGAGCCTTTGAGAAGACAGGAGTCTGGCCTGTGAGCTGCTCCAGCACTTTGGCTGCCCGGGTGAGTCTGTCACCACTTTCCCCAACACAAATGTTGAGACAGAGTTTGCGGATGCGCAGCTCACACATGGGGTTCTCCTTCTCACCCTGATCTTGCGCAGTGAACTCCTTGGGACAGGGACTGTCTCACTCTCTCGTGGAGCACTAAGTATGTTGACACCACCTGAGATATAAAACTAAAAACTAAACCTACCCACACATTCAGCTCTCTCTGTGCTATTAAACAAACCCACACCTCTGCCTGTCTCATCCCTCTCGCACACCAACAGATTTACAACTGTTCTATTAAATACACACTACTCTGCCCATGTGATCCCCTCTCACACACACACACAGAGCTATCCCTGTGTTATTAAACAAACAGGTCTCTGCTTGTGTGATCCCTCTCATACAGAGCTACCCGTTATTAAACAGTCATGTGCCTGTGTGATCCCTCTCTCTCTCTCTCACACACACACACACACACACAGCTATCTCTGTGTTATTAAACAAACCCACACCTCTGCCTGCCTCATCCCTCTCACACACCAATATACAACTGTGCTATTAGATGCATACTACTCTGCCTGTCTGATCCCTCTCTCTCCCCCCCCCCAACAGCTATCACTGTGTCATTCAACAAACACACGTCTCCATGTGATCCCGTCTTCGCACACACAGCTATCTCTGTGCTACTAAACAAGAATATTTTCCTTGTGTGGTTACACTCTCTCACAGAGATCTCTGTGCTGCCACATTTATCCCTGGGCCATATAGTTCCAGCTCAGGGAGCTTATTCTATTGAGTATGTTAGTCAAAAGATGACAGTGAATTAATCTCTGCGGCAGAATTACTTCTTCTTGCCCTGTTGTGGGAAGGGCGCTCTGAGACGGGTATGGAGCAAAAGGGGAAGGTGGGTAAAGAAAGGTATTGGACACCTACCTGGTAGCCTTGCACACATTCCTCCCATTAGGGTCCAGCTCTTGAGCAGAGCTCCCAATCCATGGCCAGAAATGGAGACAAAAGAGTAACAACAGCAGCTGCGCCATCTGGGTCTGGATACAGGGTGATGCTGGCCACAAGGGGCTTCCAAGCCAAGGCATGGGCTGTATGCAGCTTTCTTGTCCGTCGGTTGGCTCTGTCTGTCTGTCTTCCTCTCAGTTTCTGCCTCACCCCCTCTTTGGCCTCAAATTTCCTCCTTGCTTTTTCCTGAGGAAATGCAGGAGGCGAAAAAATCCCTCACATCCAAGGAGCCAGAAGGGGTGGGAAGGGAAGTGGGGCAGGGCAAACGCTGTATCCCACCGTTCACTGCAGCAGTAGAAACAGGGGAGCCCCTAGAGCCAGCATCATGTTGAGGAAAGTTACTTGCTGCTGGCAAAGCCTAATAGTTGCCACAGGAGCAATCAGAGGGAAAAAGCCAAGCTCCCCACCCTCCATCCTCCACCCCCAAACATCACCTCAGCCTGCCCCCGTCCACTCCACCGAGTATCATGTCCTCTACCCCCATCTCCTCACATCCCACCCACCCCCCACTCAACGGCAGACCCCGCCTCTCCCACTTCATGCCTCCCTCCCCCTGCCCTTCCTCCACCTGGCACCAGGCCTGGAGTACCACATGAATATCAGTAGTGTTGCCACGCTCCAATGCCCTGTGGGCTCTACTGGGGACTGCAATTCTTGGCAAGACGAAGAGCTGCCAGAACAGAGCATGCCCCAATTCTGCCCTTTTAACTGGGCAGGAGCCAGTTTGCGGAAAGTACAGAGCAGGGACCGGAGCGTTTCCGGCAATCGCCCATCCTGCTGTCTCACAGGCTCATTTTGTCAGCATTTTCACAGGAAACACCTTTTCCCTGCACGGTGACCTAGAGGGGGTCAGGAGGTTCATTCAGTCCATGGGGAGACTCCTAGCTACAAGGGAAGGAGGGAGGGCAGGGCACTTCCAGGCGCTGGCCTAGACTTTTACCTCCTCACAGAACAGGAGCCGAGGGAACAACAAATCCAAACCACCCAAAACCAGTTCTATCCCAGAATGGTGGCTGGGAGCTGGAACATGGTCTGGGGGCTCTGCTGTGCACCAGAAGTGGTGACCAGGTAAAGCAGTGCTGGCTGGACTCCTGCAGCCTCCAAAGTTGATCCCTGACAGAGTTCCCAAGGAAACAGGAGCATAGAGCAGTGCGGTAGGCTCAAGACCATGGAGAGCAGAGATGGCAAAACCATTAACTCCTGCCCGGGCTATGTCTTCAGCCAGGAGAGGACTGTTCTTTATTGGAGATTTCTTAGTGCTGTGTGCAGTATGGTTTTCAGTCTCCCGAGGGAGGGGCCTCCCTCTGGACACTGCCAGTCCAGTCAAGCTGGGAGTCCCTACACGAGCAAGAAGAAAGCACAGGCCATGCCAGGTGCTTTGAGCAACACTCAAAGGATTTATTTCTGGTGCTGATCTCAATTCTAAAGCCAGACAGTAATATATCCAAGAGAGCTCCCCATCACCCCAATAATAGAGAAACTCCCAGAGACTAAAACACCTCCATTTCCTTAGCACTTACCAGTGCCATGCACTAGACACTGTTACATGTTCCTAGTGAAACACCGAAAAGCCCTGACCAGAGGCTCTATTGCACTTTTTCTCTGGGGTCAGTGCATTGCAGTGTCCTGCCGTGAGATCATGAAGCAAATACATCTACCGAGCCATAGTTTGGGTACACTTATGGTAGAAAAATTAGTGCCTGCCTGAGAGCAGCAGCCAGCAATGAGGGAGCTGAGCTGCAAGTGCAGCCTGGCTGCAGATGCAGGTGCTGGCTAGGGCAGCCCAGCTGGGGTGTGAGCATAAGTGCTGGCAGCAGTGGCCAAGGCATGAGCACAGGTGGAGCACGGGTGACTGGCTGGGGCAGCTGGGGTGAAAGCACAGACTTTAGGTGGGGCAGCCAAAAGAGAGCATGGCCAAGCACCGGCTGCGGTGGCCGAGCCACGAGCACAGAGACAGTATGGGCATTGGCTGAGGCAGCTGGGGCATGAGCACAGGTGCAAAGCAGGCACTGGGTGGGGCAGCCAAGCCACAAGCAGATGGGGAGTGGACATTCAACAGGGGCTGAGCCACAAGCACCGATGGGGCACAGGCATTCGATGGGGGCTGAGCCACGAGCATGGATGGGCTACAGGCATTTGATGGGGCCAAGCTGCAAGTGTGAATGGGGCCTGGGCATTGACTGGGGCATCTGAACTGCGAAAACAAATGAGGTGCGGGCACTGGCTGGGGGCAGAGCTGTCTAACCCTACACACATCAGGCTTTCACTGCGTCTTGTGCAGCTGCATCTCCAGGGCTGACTGCTGCAATGGGGGACCAACGTTTCTAATGGAGCTGAGGCTACCGATCCTCCCATGAAATTGTCTCTGAGAGAAGGGCTGGGAGGGGCAGGTGCTGCTGATGTGCCATAGGCTGGCATCCTGCTCAACTGAGGTCAGGGAGGGGGCACCACTTTGTCAGGGGAGCCATGTGTGGGTTTGTTCTCTTCCTCCTGCTCAAAATGCACATCCTGTGAGTCAATGATTTCCCACACTCCTGAGCAGCCTGGGTTGGGGGGGTCTTTGCTGCTGCTGTGATACCACAGACCAAAACTGCAGGAAAAGCAGAAAGAGAGTAGATGAGCAGGGGCAGTGAACTTCCCACAAGAGAGAGCGACATCCCCAGAGCTGCTGCCAGAACCACTGTCCATTGGAGACACCTGGCAGCACCAAGGACAGGTTCATCCGTGAACACCTGGGGCCAGTACGTAACGTCCAAAAAAAGTGAGGGGCCTGTCATAATCTGGGAGCAGCAGCTTTGCTAAGACGGTGCTTAAGTGTGTCCCTCAGCTAGATTTAATTTTTTTTTTTATATTTTGCCAGGTCTGTGACACCCCTCCCTCCCCCTCACCTACACACATATTTTAAGCACTGCCTAGCACTCCAGAACCTGTGTGATATAGGCTGGGGCTGCTTTGTGACTGTCACTGACCCTGGAGGAGGCAACAAATCACACTAGGGCTTGAGAATCAGAATAGCAAGCCTGGAGCAGGCTTCTCAGAGCACTTGACACACACACCAGCCCCTGATGCACTGCTTGTGTGCAAGCCACTAGCTCCTCCGTACGAAGGTGCCGACTCTTCGGGGCAGGGATTGCACCTCCTCGTACAGTGCTCAGCCCACTGTGCTCAACAGATAAAGCCTCACGGGTACTGTAGTCATTTATAATGCCCTAAGGCAGTGGTTCCCAAATTTTTGAGGGCTGTACCCGTCCTCTCCGCTCCCCCTCCCCCAGCCTGGGGGCCATGGGTCTGAGCGGGAGGGGAGTGGGGAGGGGAAAGGGGCTGAGATTGGGGCCACAGATGGGGATGGGTCTGGGGCCAGGAGCAAAGCCAAGAACTGAGCCGCAGCCGGGGGATGAGGCTGGGGCAGGACCGGAGCCGCAGCTGGGTTTCTGTGGGGGCCGGCAGCCGGATGTAGCTCTGCTCCCGACCCCATGCCCTGGTCCAGGGCAGGAACAGAGCCACTGCAGGGGCCAAGGCTAGGGGCAGGAGCAGAGCCGCAGCCAGGCCCCCAGTTGGGTGTGGAGCCATGCCGAGGCTGGGGGTGGGGCAATAGCAGAGCTCAGGGGTAGGGTGGGGATGGCACTCCCTCCCCACCCCCTGTGGAGGCTGGCCCAGACCCACCGTGCCCCTGGAAGGTCCCTGGGGGGGGACACCCCACACTTTAGGGACCTCTGCCCTAAGGGCTAATTATTCCTCTAACCATACGGATACCTCCCCAGATCAGCACATCGGATGCAAACTTACAAGCTCTTGATTTTGGATTCACGTGGCTGAGAGTCCACACAATCTGCACTCTCATCTTCATCACTAGGGTGCAAAAGAGAAGAGAACTGGTAAGTCAGAAACCCTCTGATCTGCTCACTTACGCTTCATACCATACCAGTAGAAAGGAGAATGCCAGATCCCTCTACCCAAACCACAAATGATACGCATATGGGGGAGAGGAGGGCAATAGCCCTATCACACAAATCATCATGGGAATCCTGCCCAGCTCACAGAATACCCTAAGCCAGATTCAGCTTCAGAAGGGTTTGATTTCTGGAAGCTGTTCCCTAGAAAAGCCCCCAGTGTGTCCAGCATCGGACGCTGCCTTGTGGATGCAGTGCAGAACTGAGGCCCTGACCACATGTGCCCAGTGCAGATCCCAGGGCACTCTGCAAGAGTAAAGGTGTTGGATGTGATCCAGGATCCTGGCCAAGTTCCAAAGAGCAATCACCTTCTCCCTCCTCCCTCCCACGTGTTCAGCTGGACAAGGATTCTCCTTCATTTTCTGCCCTAAACTGGTGGGCAGGGCTGCTATGTGACTATTAAATAGCTACTGCAGTCACAGTATTTGAAAAAACTAGAGAAGATATCCTGGGTCCCACCCAGTCCATTTCTTGGAGCCAGGGCAGGATTGTTTCCTACAGTCTAGGGCAGAGGTGGGCAAACTATGGCCTGCAGGCCACATCCAGCCCGCGGGACTGTCCTGCCTGGCCCCTTAGCTCCCGGCCGGGGAGGCTAGTCCCCGGCCCCTCCCCTGCTGTCTCCCTTCCCCCACAGCCACACGAGCAGTGCTGCTTGCACCCACTCACCTCCCAGGTTTTCCAACAAGCCTGTCCTGCCGCTTTGAGCAGCATGGTAAGGGGGCAGGAGGTCCCGGGGGGCAGGGGGGGTTGGACAGGGGGTGGGGTCCAGGGACAGGGGTCCCCGGAGGGGGCGGTCAGGGGACAAGAAATGGGGGGGTGGTGGTGGATGGATCAAGGGTCCCGGATGTGGCTAGGGGTCAGGGCAGTCAGGGGACAAGGAGCAGGGGGGGTTGGATGGGTGGGGAGCTCTGAGGGAGGTAGTCAGGGGGCAGGAAGTGGGAGGGGGCGGATAGGGGGCGGGGCCAGGCTGTTTGCAGGGCACAGCCTTCCCTACCCGGCCCTCCATACCATTTCGCACCCAGATGTGACCCTCAGGCCAAAAAGTTTGCCCACCCCTGGTCTAGGGTCTCTAGTAACAGAGCTTCCACTGCCTCTCCTGGAGGACCATGGCAGAGCCCAATGCTTCTCATTGACCGGGACGTTCTTCTTGCCATTAAGCCTATGTTTTTTCCCCTTTATTATTTTTCTCCCCTGATTCCTAGCTACTCCATCTTCTACCACCCCAAACAATCCACAGAAGTTCATCAGGGATGGGAAAAGTCAGGAGCTGCTCTTTCCTTACTCCCGGTGATCTTTCAAAATGAACAGTCAGCAGCACCATTGTTCCACTCTCAGCAATGGTGGTAGGGTACGGAAATTCTTTTCCAAAATTTCATACAGAATCACAATTTACACTCAGCACAATTACGCTCAGTGCTCTTCACCTGCAAAGCACTTTGCAAACGTTAAAACTTCATCTCCTGAGTGCCTCCGACAGCAAAGCACTTTCAGACTCTTCAGCGTTCACGTTGCTGTATAGATGTATGACAGTGATGGTCACAATGTTTTTATTTTTTAAATATTTAAACACATGTAAGCAAATGAGCCAGACACTGTAGCCCAGTGGGCCAGCTTACCTGTATTATATTCATTGCTTTGTTATCCTGCTTTATTATATTTAGTAGTAATGCAAGGAACCTACAGGCTTTTATCCTCTAAGATTTGGCTTTACTGGATAGTGTGAGGCTTGAGCCCTATAACCTTTGGTATAGATAAACTTAACTAACTCATAAGTTACAGGAAACTGAAAGTAGCACGCAAGAGGGAATTTTGTCCAGAATACGGACACCAGCCACCCACAGAACATAGCTGACACCAGCACAGAACATCAGCATCCAGAAGATTCTGAACAGAACCTCCAACCACAAAGGTGCCATGACAGCAAACTGATGTGTATGCTAATAGGGTAACATCATACATATACTAACCTATAAAAAAAGGACACCTTAAGGGAGGAAATACAAATAAGGACCTCTACTGAATATGCACTGGACGTGACAGCGTGAGCATAACCTACTGTAAAAGTAACATCCCAGGGGCAGCAGATGGGCTGGAGAGATGTAGACCTTGGGAGGGG